GCGAAAACGGGGAGTGAAGAAGTTTTTAATGAAGAGTTCGCTGGATGAGATTGACACGGTCGAGCCACTGAGGAGGGCCCTTCGACAGCCCATGCAATGCTCTATTCTGGAGTACCTGGCGGCATCGAAGCTGGCTCGCGATGAATTACAGATGATCACGCGCAAGACTCGCATACCTCTATCAGAGGAGGGGCAAGGGGCCCCTAAGGCGGAAGCTTCTAYAGTAGCAGTGACGGGGGTGAGTGCCAGGGCGGATCGCATGGCGACAGTCCTTCTTGATGGAATGGAAGGTGTGCCTCCAGACAAATTTTATATACGTGGTAGTGGGGCAGTGGAGACAATTATAAACGATGGAGCGATACTTGATGCTGTGATCGATAACGACAGTGAGGCAGTTATCATAGACGACGACCTGGCAGTGCAGGTTGGGCTGGGCCTCGATAGGTCGTATCTATTCGAGATAGAGACGGCTGATGGGAGAAAGCAACAGATCACTGGGGTTTGTCACAAGGCAGTTATAGAGGTCCAAGGGGTACGAGTGACCCTGCCTGTCTTCGCAGTCAAGAACTGCAGCTCTGACCTGCTCTTGGGACGGACGTGGCTAAGCCACGTGCAKGCGGTGACGATAGAGCGACCTGACGGGAGCCAGACATTGTCCATTAAGAAGCCAGACGGGACGCGAGTGATGATTGAGACGGTGGAGCCTCGGGACCCGAGAAACAGAGCAGCTCTCGCTGTGGGTGCGAGACCCAGTGATCAGGTTAGGTCTTTACCTATCTCCAGCCGCGCGGTGCGATTTCGCGAGAAGGAGTATGGACCACTGCTCACAGAGGAAGAAGGTCGAATCGTCGAGGTAGAATATCTATGGAGTCGGTTAATAGTGGATGGCAACTCATACCCAAAGGAAGAAGATGAGGAATTAGGCGGTGTGGTATCCGTGTCTTTTTTAAGGGCACTGCCCCCTACGGGGGGCCGCCTAAGCGACACAAGCGGGTAACTCAGAAGGTTAAGCAAGCGGCAGTGGGCCGCGAGCGATCTCCTCTAAAAGGGATATCGGAAGAAGAGATCGTGAGAGGGATCAAAGAAAGAAAGAGAAAGGAGCCACAACGCCTGACGCAGGATAGGATAGCAAGGATGGACATCGGAGATGGAAATTTGACCCCACAAGAGCGAGAACGAGTGATAGAGATTCTGAAAACATGTGATAAGGCAATAGCTTTCAGCGATGCGGAGCAAGGTAGGGTTGACCCTCGATACGCGAAGCCAGCAAGGATTTACACCGTACCACATGTTCCCTGGAATGACGCAGGATGGAAATATGCCCAGAAGGAGAAGGAGGAAGTTATTGCTTTCCTGAAAGAAAAGATGGTTTCCCATGTCGCGGAACCATCTGATAGCGCGTATGCTAATCGATGGTTCTTCCTACGGAAGCCGAATGGCAAGATCCGATGGATACAAGACCTTCAGAAGGTCAACGCGGTGACAATACGAGATGTGGGCTCGGTGCCACACGCTGATTTGTTAGCAGAAGGCGCCGCAGGTAGGTCGATCTATTCGGTCTGCGATCTGTTCTCATGATATGATGAGGTACCGCTTGACCCTAGAGACAGACACCTAACGACCATGCACACGCCATTGGGACTAATACAAATGATGGTTGTCCCTATGGGGTGGACAAATGGGGTAGCTGTCTTTCAGAGAGCTATGGTAGCCGTCCTCAAGGACTTCATCCCTGATAAGGTTGAAGTTTTTCTGGATGACTTCCCTATAAAAGGGCCAGTAGACAAGGATGAGACGGAGGTCGTACCTGGAGTCAGGAGATTCGTCGAGCAGCATCTAACAGA